TTGCTGAGGGAATGAGCTCTGTTGGAGAGAAGTAGTCTGCAGGGAATTCTACAATTTTGAAAACTCAGTTGGGGAAGATAATTTCCATAAACTGTAATGATCGGGACTCTGTAGGTGAGTGATATTACAGGAAAAAAGATCATACTCTTTTATTCGCTTGGGGAACTTGTTGGTGAGTATTGTAAGACTATTACGTGGAGATAATCCTATGGAAGTGGCTTTGTGGGGATTTGTGGATATTTTTAACATTATCCCAACTTCTAGAGTCTTGAGTAAATGCTTATTCCTGTTTTTATGCATATATTTGTTAACAGTCGATTATATTCATATGCATATGCTCATTCAGTTTTAGTCATTGGACGCTCTTGCACACAAAACAGAAAAAGTAAAAACAAAGAGTTTGAGTTTTGAAATTGTATTTTATTGATAATTTTCCCATAAACAGGCGACTTTGTACAAAGAGACAGAGATCCCAATAAGGGAAAATTGTCATGAAATGAAAAGAATATAAAGTGTAAACAAGATAATATATATGTGGAAGTAATCTCATCGAGTTCCAATTCTGTTATTGACCCTATGTCTTCGAGCATCTCATCCCTTGCTGTTGGAAGAAGTTGACTGAATTAATCTGTACCATTTGAACCCGACATTGGCAACAAAGTTTGTTGTAAGTGATTCAACGGGACATAGTCGTACGCTTTTAATCCCTAAATTTTGCCTGGACCTCCCTTTCAGGTTTTCAGTCCATCGGGATACCCTTTTTTGCCCAAGCCGCCTTTTCAGGTTTTCGACTTGCCGGGTGTACTATCTTTTATATATATCCCTAATTTTTTCCCGAACCCTTTTGGTTCGTTGGGATGCCCTTATTTTTTCCTAGGCCAATAAACCTAGCGGGTCATTTTCATGTGTAGTATCTTTTGACTATGTCCGCGTTCACAGGGTGCAGAAAATCTTCACCGTCCATGGTGGTCAGTATCATAGCACCGCCAGAAAATATCTTGTTGACTACAAATGGCCCTTCGTAAGTGGGAGTTCATTTGCCTCTGGGATCACCTTGTGGTAGAATGATGCGCTTTATTACCAAGTCACCAGCCTGATATACCTAATGCTTGATTTTCTTATTGAAGGCTTTGATCATACGCTTCTGATACATCTGACCATGACAGACAGCTGCAAGCTTCTTCTCATCAATCAAATTCAACTGATCTAGCCTTGTCTGAATCCATTCGTCTTCGTCCAAATCTGCATCTTTCATAATTCTTAACGAAGGAATCTGAACTTAGATAGGTAGAGCAGCTTCCATACCATATACCAGAGAGAATGGAGTTGCCCCAGTTGATGTTCATGCTGAAGTGCGGTAGCCATGAAGAGAAAATGGTAACATCTCGTGCCAGTCTTTGTAGGTGACAACCATTTTCTGTATGATTTTCTTAATATTCTTGTTGGAGGCCTCCACTGTGCCATTTATCTTTGGCGATATGGAGAAGAGTTGTGGTGCATAATCTTTAACTGCATGCGGATTTCAGTGATCATAGTTTTGTTGAGATTAGTATCGTTGTATGTGATAATCCTCTTGGGAATGCCATACCGACAGATAAGGTTGTGTTTGATGAACCGGGCGACCACATTCTCTGTAACAGGGGAAAATGAGACTGCTTCAACCCATTTTGTAAAGTAATCAATGGCGATGAGAATGAAGCGATGTCCGTTAGAGGAAGTAGGCTTGATCTCTCCAATCATGTCAATGCCCCACATTGTGAATGACCAAGGATAAGTCATGACATTCAAAGGTACTAGAGGCACATGAAATATATATATATATATATATATATATATATATATATATATATATATATATATATATATATATATATATATATATATATATATATATATATATATATATATATATATATATATATATATATATATATATATATATATATATATATATATATATATATATATATATATATATATATATATATATCAACAATGTATTAAATATGAGTATCTCAAACTAAAGAAAACCTATGAGAGGGAAAGAAGAAAACAAATTAAATATTTAAAAGAATTTAATAGGGGTGTAATCGGATCGGTTTAGATTGGTTTTTAGTCAAAAATAGTTTGAATTGATGATATTTCTATCGGTTTGGTTTGATTCAATTTTTAACATTTTTTAAAAGTGAAACCGAATCAAACTAACTGATTTGATTGGATTGATCGGTTTACAATTTTTTTTTCAAACATTATATTCATCAGAGGATTCTCTACTATCGTATTTTTCATTGTATTTTATGTTATTATTTTTATAAAATAATACATTTCATACTCTATTTTTTCAAATGAATTACAAGTTACTCTTAATTCATTTGAAATAGTGACATGATTTCTATTGCATCATGAAATAAGTTTAATATCAAATATTCGAAATAATGACATGATTTCTATTGCATCATGAAATAAGTTCAATATCAAATACAAAAGTTAACACTTGGTATGAGAATGTTGGAAAAGAATTTGAAAAATTAACAAATAGAACACAATAAAATACACATCAAAATACACATCAATTAACATGTTTCATACTTCAAACATAAATCAAAACTATTTTGTAAATGGACTCCAAGAAATTTTCTTTAAGAATAAGAGACAAAAATATATTAAAAAAATGAAAATTAACGAAGAAAACTTGAACACGAAGAAGACGACTATAGCATATTAGAATGACAGTAGTGAGAGCGACAATAGTGACAGGCAATAGTGACAATAGTGACAGGCAATGAGAGCAGTAGTTGAGTGAAAGCAAGTTTTTTGTGACTTATAATTCTACTTTCTATATTTTAGAGTTGAGTTCTAGATATGTCTTTTGCTGGAAGGAATGAAGTGTAAACAAATATAGAGAATGATTGAATCGGTAAAAAATTTAGGTTTAATGATAGACGAAATAAAAGATTTAGAGCGTAATTATTTCTATTAATTTGGTTCATTGGTTTGACGGTTCTAAAAAATTAAAATCGAGAACCGAACCAAATCACATCAATTTTTATTAATTCAGTTTGATTTTATAATCGAACCAAAAATAATTGATTTTATTTTAAATTGATTTAGTTTAAATTGTCGATTTAATTAGATTTTTTTGACTCACTTACACCCCTAAAACTTAACGAGTGTGCAAGGCAATAAATTCAAAATATGTCCAATAATGAATGTTTTAAGAATGTAAACACACGGTAATATGGTCAACATATGTCAAATAATTCGTGTCGTTACATTCACCCATATAACCATAGATTCATGCTAAAAGTCATCCAAATTTCAAATCATTCCAACAATTTTTGAACGTCAATAGTAAATTTTCTTCTTGTAGAGTGTCACTCCATTATCCCAATTTTACTCATTCAATGTTATCGAATTACGTAAGTACAATATTTAGGACCCCGACAACATCAAACAATTGCCTCGATGATTCCTTATGCCAACCCATAAGCCATTTTTCCACAACAAATATTGTTCTGAATTTTTAACGTTGTTTCCGTCCAAAATTAGAAATGTGTGATAAAGTCTTCATGCAGTGTTCAAAATTAGAAATGTGTGCTTAAGTCTTCATGCAGTGGTGTAAGATTTCGGTGCGGTGGAGAATAGTGTGACACATTATATACCTTTTCCACATCAAAAATAATCTGAATAATTTATTAATTATTTAATATTTTTTATATTAAATAATCTATTTTTAAATAATCTGAATAATTTATTTTAATTATATTTTTCTTCTTCATCTTCAAACATATTTTATTCATCTTCTTCATTTTTATTTATCATCTTCATTTTGTTCATCTTCAAAAATATTCTTCTTTTTATTTAAATTTCATTGAATAACACAAAAAATTATAAAATTTAAATTTCAAACTTATATCAATTAGTAGAATCACTAAATTTAGAAAAAAAATCCGGTGTCTTCATATTTAGAAAAAATTACTAAATTTAGATTTCAAAGTAAAAAAAAAATAGAAACAAAGGCAAAAAATTTGTACAAAAATGTCTTATTTTTTAACCAAGACAGAAAGATGTAGAGATTTGGAACCTTGAAAAACTAAATTTACATAGCACCACAAAATCTAAAAAACAGATTTAAAACAAACAAGTTCAACAAATAAAAAAAATAAAAGAGATTAATCTTAGATATTGTCCGATCTTACTTTACAATATTACCATTATTAAACATAATATTAATTAATCTCAAATCTAAAATTATCATTGATATTTTTAGATTTTAGTATAATTCATATTTTAAAAAATCTAAATCAAAAAACTGAAATCTATAAACAACAAATATTAATTTTAGATGTAAATCTTTCTCAAAAATAAATAAATTTTTTAAAGAAAAAAAATTATATCGGTGAATGACAAAGATGATGATGATTTGATACTGTTGAATTTGATAGTCTTGTTCTTCTACTTTAGTTTTTGATTTAGAAGAAAAAACTGAAGAAAGTGAAAAAGAAGAAAGTAAAAAAAAAAAAATCACATTATTGCATTATTGTTGTAGGTTTCATTTGATGTAATGAGTACTTGGAAATATAAAAATAATAAAATTGAAAACTCTAAACAATGTGTAGTAATAAATCATTCACTTTAATCATATTTAATTATAATAATTGAAAAAACAATATATAATTTTATAATGAATTGATTTACTTGCAGTGTAACTTCTCTGTAATAGACAAAATTTACTTGCTCGGGCTAAATGTCAGGCATAATATATATATATATATATATATATATATATATATATATATATATATATATATATATATATATATATATATATATATATATATATATATATATATATATATATATATATATATATATATATATATATATATATATATATATATATATATATATATATATATATATATATATATATATATATATATATATATTTCAAGACAATATTAATCTTAACTTGATAGAACTAAGACCAATATTTCAAAATGGCTTCACCAAATGTTGAGTACACTGCAAGCTTCACACACACTTTGAAAACCTTGGTTAAGAAATTATGGACTAAGTTAGTAATGTTCACAAAATTTATAAAAGAGATTAGCCAAGATGACCCTAGAAGGTTTATTCATTCCTTCAAAGTTGGGTTAGCATTAGTTTTGGTTCATATTTTGCATCATTTTCGTCCTTCTTTCTATGGTTTTGGTGACAACATTATCTGGGCTGTTCTTACCGTTGTTATTGTCCTTGAACTTTCTGTGGGTAAGTATGTCCTTTTTAAAAAAATTACAAACATTTGTTGTTGAAGAAAAATATACTAACTGCATTGATTTTCAGGTGCAACAATCGGAAAAGGTTTCAATCGAATGTTCGCAACAGGGTTAGCGGGCGCTCTCGGTGTTGCGAGTAATGAAATCACCACTCTTTGTGGAGATAAGGGAAAAGTCGTAATGACTTCGATCTTTATCTTTGTGATAGGTAAATAAAATTTAATCAATTTACTAATAGTATTTAGGTATTGTTTACGATTACACTAAACATAACCGTCTTTAAAGACATGCAAAATAGACTATTGTAAATAATTTAAAATTTGTCATAGTTAAACCGTAGCTAAACAGGATTTTATAACTTGTGACTGATAAATAGAGTCTACAAAAATTTGAGATGATTGTGACGCTAAGAGATATATATTTTATACTAACTTTTGACTAATCATATTTAATTGAACTAATTAATAATTACGATGACCGAGAACTTTGTATATTAATTATTTTTTTCACTTTTATGTAGCTGAAAGAGTGACATTTATGAGATTTTCTCCTAAATTGAAGGCAAGATATGATTATGGGATGATCATATTCATCTTAACATTTTGTTTGGTATCTCTTTCGGATGTGAGTGGACATGAACTTCTAGAAATGGCATATGAAAGGTTATTAACAATTATAATTGGAAGCTCTATAGCTATTACAGTGTGCATTTTCATATACCCTGTTTGGATTGGAAAGGATCTTCACAACATGATTGCTGGAAATATTGAAAAGGTTGCTGACTTTTTAGAAGGTATGTATTATAGTTAATGTCATTTTAATCAAATTTTTAGTATTAATAAATTATGAGATCTTAAACTAGTAGAAATTAGTTCGCAAATCCTTAACTCAACCGATATTACTAAGTTGGACGTCTTTATCAACGTTCAAACTCTAATACTCACAGTTGTATATATGAATTTCTAATAATTATTAACAATTCTTCTACAGACAAAAAAACTAATAAAAATCAACTATGAGACAGGATTCGGAGATGAGTACTTCAACAATTTAGAGAATTCAGAAGATGAAAATGATAAAGAATTTCTTCACAAATATAAAAGAGTTCTCTCTTCAAAAAGCACGGAAGAAACAATGGTAAAAAAAATAAAATATTAAAAAAATTAATTTATATAATTATCATAGTATCATCATATAGATATTTATGAATATATATAATCATGTGATTTAATATAACGTATCTATAAAATAAAAATTTTACCGTGACTATACAACAAATCTAATAATAAAATGTTTCTTTTGAATTTTACAGGCGGATTTGGCAAGATGGGAACCTCGTCATGACCGATTTAGATTTCGTCATCCATGGAAGCAATATTTAAAAATTGGAAACTTGACGCGGTTTTGTGCATACAAAGTCGAAGCTCTCAGTGAATATCTTCAACATTCTAAAGTATGATATTTTTAAGTATTGCTAAATATGTCTTTATGAATTAGTTACTTATTTGTTAAGTTAACGACGTATTTGTAAAAAAAAGTTATTGATTTATAAATATCAATAATTTAACATGTTAATTTTGTGCTTTGTGATACAGACTCCGTATGAATTTCGAAGCAGAATTCAAGAATCATGCACGAATATTAGCTTGGAATCGGGGAAGGCCTTAAAAGAAGCATCATTGATGATTAAGAAAATGTCTAAATCATCAACTCCAAATTTTCATGTTTTAAATGCTAAGAATGCTGTTGAATCTCTTAAATCTGTATTAAGAACAAATCCATGGGAAGGTGCTGATCATTTGGAGATTATACCAGCTTCTACGGTGGCATCATTGCTTATTGATATTGTGGTTTGTGTTGAGCAAATTTGTGAAGCTGTTGAAGAATTAGCATCACTTGCAAATTTTGTGCCTTCTGAGTCACTTCATAGGGGAACGGTGCAGCCGATTTCTGATAGCGATGGTTCGGTTCATGTAGTTAACGTTGCTGAATGATCAACGTTTACACGCTGCTACACGGTGTATCAACTGTAATGGATTTAAATCAGGTTTATAATATGGTTGGAACTAAACACGAGAAAAAGAAAAAAAAATTACTTGTGAAATTAGAGAATAAAGTTGTGAGCATACAAAGTGTTGTTGTAACAAGTTAAATAATAGATCTTTCAATTTTGTACCATAACAAGGTTTTGGTTGAGTACAAAGGATTTGCTTTCTTTGGTAGTTTGGAGAATGAAAAGCTCCCTGAATTTTTTTATCTTATGCAAGTACATAGGCCACACCAACTCCAATTATAGAAAGAAAGTTGATAAAGAGCAACAATGGTGAACACAGAAGGCGCAATAACAAACCTCATAAACAATATAAAGATGTTCACAAAGAGGTAATTAATGTTGGAAACACTCAGGATGAAAGGGATAAAAATAAAGAGGGACATATTCAAAGAAGTAACCAGCTGACTAATAATCATGAAACTGTTCAAATTTGAAGCAACGATGTACACACACATTATCCCTAGCAGAATATTGATGATAATGCTAGAATACTAAAGAATGCATTGGATATGTTGCAGATAATGTGAACGTATCTGATCCTTCCAATACTCTTTCGACACCATTTCTCTTTAGATTTGAAGTGTTGTCTACAGATGATATCCATGTGTAGGCGTTCTCCTTGCCTACTGGCGAATTAAACTCTGCCAAAAAATCACCTAGTACCGTGTATTTGATATTTCCTTTGGGTATATACTGTATGAATCATACTCAGATAACTCAACTTTCTAAGATACCATCCTTCCTATGAGATTTGGTTTCTTCAAGACTTGTCAAATGATGTAGTTGGTCTTTACCATTATACGCCGCCATTGGAACTAGGTTTGAACTTCCTTGCAGTTATTACGACCGCCAAGACAAGCCTCTTGATCCTCTGGTACTTAGCCTCAACGTCCTTGAACACCTTACTCACAAAGTAGACAAGCTACTCAACTTTGTCTTTCTCTAGGACGAGCACAAAGTTCACCGTCTAGTTAGTTACAGATAAGTACAAATAGGGGGACATGCCTGCTACAGGGCGCATCAATATGTGCGACATTGTCAAGAAGATTTTTCAGGTTGGAGAAAGTCTCATCGCATTCGCTCATCCATTCAAACTTCTCCCTCTTTTTTTCAGGATGGTGAAGAAATGGAACACTTTGTCCCTTGTACAAAAAAGAAAATGGGCTAGGGTGGATAACTCCGTGTTAGTTGTAGGACCTCCTTTACATTAGATGGACTCCATTAGATGGACTCCTCATGTTGATGGGGGCTTGACACTTATCCGGGTTATGTTTTATTTCTCTCCTAGTTAACATAAATCTCAAGAATTTATTTGCTTGCACGCCAAAAAAGTATTTGGTGGGATTTAAACACATGTTACATCTTCTAGATCCACAATGTGGCTTTCTCTTCTGATGTCTTCACATCCATATCATCAATGTAGACTTCTATCTATCTTCTTTGAAAATACGGCATCCATAAGTCTTTGGTAGGTGACTCATGTATTCTTCAGCCCAAAATGTATGACATTATAGTAGTAATTGTCTTGGTTAGACATGACTTTTGTATTGGGTGTGTCCACTAGATTCATCTTAATCTGATTATAACCAGAATAAGCGTCTAAGAAGTTCAGATTTTTCTAATATGAGGATCCATCAATCAAACTATTTGTGTTGGACAATAGTATAAAAAGGGGTTCGAGATGTTAGATTCTCGGGTGTTCAATTGTATACAAAACTCATATTATTCAAAGTATCTAGCGAATTGAGAAAAGAGTCCAAACTGAGTGAAATGTACGTATGAAACACCATTTTTATTTAATGCAAAATCATGTCTTTTAAGTTAATTTCCTGCACTTTTATAGTTGTGTCGAAGTCTTTTATATTCATTTTATCTTTGCAAATCATTTTCATATTTTTCCGAAGTTTCGATTTATATCGAAGTCTTCATATTTCAGTAATAAAAACCTTATGAAATTCTATACACATAGGTCCAAGGATCAATCTAGTCGATCCTACTAGCAACCAAGCTATCATTTGGAGGACTTGCGGTTATTTATGAAATTTCACAGTAAACAAATTGGCAATGCCTAGTGGGATCATGTGTGTTATAGATTTTTTACATTATCTCTAAAAGTTTTGCACGCTTCTTCATTTATGAAACTTTTAAATTTATGAGTGTGCATGAGACTAAGAAATGGTAGGATAGCCAAGAACAATTTGATAGTTCTAAAGAGGAAATACTGTAAGAAAATGGTGAACTCTAGGAATAACAATAATGGAGAACAGCATGCCAATATTGTGGGAGAAGGCACAGTCGCTACGAATTCGACTGAAACAATGGCTTTCAAAACCACTACAACGGCAGTACTATCACTGGCACAAAGTGGGTCAATATTATCCCCACCAATAATCCAGAGTCACTCTGTGACTCCCAGACCACCAGGAGCTAATGGCTTTAGGCCTTATATGCCCAGTTTTACAATGCCTTTGAATGATCGTGAACAAATTTATGGAATGCCAACTTCGATAATGGCAAACTTGCATAACAATTCATCAACGTTTGCAGACCCAACAGCGACCATATATTCGTCATTACAAGGGTCAGGATCGGACGTGAATAATTTTGGTCGAAACACCCAGTAGTCTTTGGGAATGGAATTACCATCCCAAACAATGCCTACATTTACTTCGAGTTGAGTGAATGTTTTAGACAATAAATGAATGAAAGTAACCATGAAATGATGAACTTGCTTACTCGATAAATGAGTATCATATTCAACTCTTTGATAGAGAGTATGACACAAAGCAATGAGCCACTACAAAAATCACTTTGTAGTGACGTGATTTTCATGTCACGGTGTGAAGAATCACGTTACAACGTGTAATTAGCGATATGAATGATTACGCGGTAGAAGGATGTGTGGTAACTAAGTTGCGACGTGATTTTCACTTCACAATTTAGTGACGTGAAATTTACGTCGCAACAGTTTGCACAGATATCAACCAGAGCATAGCAGGGTTCAATAGGAGTAGGGAGGGCAGAGCAGTTGTCAATGAGTTGCGACGTGATGTTCATGTTACTAAATTTTGAAGTGAAAATCACGTCACTAAATTTAAAAGAAGTTGCGACGCGATATTCACGTGGCAAATTTGTGATGTAAATATCACGTCACAAAATATTTTTTTATAAAAAAAAATCGGAAACTAAACGTTGTTTTCATTTTATTTTTTATAAATATACTAAATTAATAAATATTAATAAAAAATATTTATTAATATAATAATTTTTCATTTTATTTTTAGTAAATATAGTAAACTAATAAATATTAATAAAAAAATACTTGTTACTACATAATTAATAAAATATAGTATATAATAATAAATAAAATATATTACACAATAATAAATAAAATATAATTTACAAATAAAAACCATAAATAATAAAAAAACTATAAATATAATATTAATAAATTTAATATAAATATATTACAAAAATTAAAATTAAATAATAAAATAATAAAAAAATTAAAATAAAATAAGTTCTATGTGTCGGAAAAGTCGTAAGATTATCTTATTATCTTCATCCATCTCTTTTTTATCCACCAACTCCTTCTATACTTTATTCTTAATATATTTAACTACAAATAAAATACATACTATTTTGCTTTTTTATAAGCTTATATAATAAATTCTTTAAGATAAACATAATTATTTTGCTTTTGTTATAACTAAACATTTAATAAACATATAATAATTTATATTTTTAATAAATAACTATTATGTTCTATTTAAAAAATTGATAATAAACATATATATATATATATATATATATATATATATATATATATATATATATATATATATATATATATATATATATATATATATATATATATATATATATATATATATATATATATATATATATATATATATATATATATATATATATATATATATATATATATATATATATATATATATATATATATATATATATATATATATATATATATATATATATATATATATATATATATATATATATATATATATATATATATATATATATATATATATATATATATATATATATATATATATATATATATATATATATATATATATATATATATATATATTTTAATTTAAAATAAATAATATAATATAGTAAAAATATAAAAATATAATATAACATAAAATATTCTCTTTTAAATAACATAAACATATCATATAAAAATAAAGATATTTTGTTTGAATAAATCTCTATATTTTATTTTAATAATAAATTATGAGAAGAAATTATTTTTGGATTTAACTATACATTTAATTTACAATAATATTTTGTTTTAAAAAAATATCTGTTTAAATATATTAATAAATTATTTTCGAATTTAACTATATATTTAATTTAAAATAATATTTTTGTTTAAACAAATCTATATATTTAGTTTAATAATATTCTATTTTTTATAAAGATTTTATGTAATTAATTTACAATAACACCAACCAACAATCCAATATATTTAAATCTCAAAAAAGTTAATAAAATAAATTTCTTAAATACCTCAATGAAGCTAAAAAAAATCTTGAATCTTTAAACGTTGAAGCTTGATGAGTCTTGATATATCTTGATGAATCTTGAAGAAAAAAATTAACAATGTTAATTATATAGTTAAAGACAAAACGAAGAGAAGAAGAGGAAAATTGATGAGTCAACATAATACCTTTATGAAAATTGAAAGCTGAAAATTGAGGATGAAGAGGCAAATTAATGTTGGAGGAGGAAGGAAGTGAAGGGGAAAATGAAGAGAAAATATCTTCTGGTTTGGTTTGGGCGTGAAGAGAAAATTCGGAAAATATATAGATACATCAGCAACGTGAATTTCACGTTGCAATATAGCAAAATGAAATTCACGTCGCAAGTCTCCAACAGTTATAATTTTGCGACATGGGAAAC